CACATCCACTATTAAGTTAGTAAAATGTGTATTTCTGTACATTTTCAGACTGAGGCACAATGCCGAGGAGGAGGATGTTGCGGGTCCAGCCGGCAACGCAGCAGGTCGTGCACTGTAAGTGTAACTATATTTACTACCAGAGAGCAAACTGCCAAACTAACGCTGAGAGGGTCTATGTCCCCCAGGGTACTGCCGGAACGTACCCTGGGTACGGTCTGGTGTACCGGAACGTACCCTGGTACTATCTAATATGCCGGACCGTACCTCGCCTACTCCACTAACGAGTCTAGGGAGTCGCCTACGCCCAGTGGCGCCCGCAGATAGAAGCACTGGAAGCACAGTGCTTCCAGTAAAGTTTGGGTTTAAAAATTTTGTTCCTAAATCTCTCTCGCAAGACTCACCAGATTGCATCTCCAGACGTCTATCATTCACAAATTTTCAGGGGGGCATGCCCCCAGACCCCCCTAGCATGCAGCGCGCCTACGGCGCTTGCTCTTGTTATTATCACTGAGGATTTTATCCTTCTGTGCTTCTACTTTCTTAAGACCTGTGGGCGCCAGTGCCTACGCCTACTCCCTAACCCTAACCATATCAAATAGTTACCAGGGTACGTTCCGGTATACCGGACCGTACCCAGGGTTTATTTGCCACTAGATGGCAGCAGGCAATATGTTGTCCGGGTCAAGGAGATCAAGGATATAGAGATAAGACGTTGGTCCAGATATTGTTCAAATGTTGGTGATAGTGGCGCCCCCATGTGAAGAGTTTGTTCTTAGCTTGCATGATTAGGTTGTCATAGTGTGCGTGCGTGCGTGCGTGCGTGCGTGCGTGCAATTTGTGCGAGGCAGGGATGTGAATTTTCAGTGCCAGAACCATTTTTAATATAATTTGTTTACATATTGGTAATTTAAGACTATATATATGTGTGGGGATTGCATTATTTATAATTAATATAATATGTACACACTATTTGTTGTCACAATGTTTTTGTTCATTCATGGTTTGAAGTTAGCCCATGCATAGGAATAGGACATGCTTGTATAGTGGCGCCACCTGTGTTGTTAGCAATCAGTAATCTACGTTTAAAAAATATTTCTAGTAAAATGTTGGACCACATTTTTGCTTGAATATTTTAAACCTACATTAGCGGGGGAACAATCTCTGGAATTTTGTTGTCTTTTTAATATTACATGTAACAAATCCTAGTTCTACGATATTGATTTGGACTGAGCGAGGCATTCATATAGGTCGTGTCTGACATATTTTAAATTTTACATGCAGCTTTGCTAGGATTTATTATTGGAGCATGATGATTGTCCAAACTTTGTGATTCCCTTGTAAAATCATATTCGTCATCCTATTTAGCCAATAATATTTTCTTTGTCTAATCTCATCAATCTTTATATGTAATCGTCGCGCTGTTTCTGTGCTTGCTGCTTGTGGCTTTCCTTGGATTACTGACTTCGTGCGTGCAGATTTTGGGTGACTTAATTTGGCTTATATTATTTTTCCCATTATTATTAACCATTTTATTTATTATTTATTCAACTAATAACCAGTTCTTCTCTTAATTTCTCCATGAAAGGTAACATAATGGTTTCTCATTTCATGAAATGACATTAAAATTTCCGAACTAGTACAGTGGTGGGTCAATTTTGTCATTGGATATTTGTACAATATCCACAGTTTTTCATATTATGATATTTTAAAGTAAAATTTATTCCAGCCTCAAAACCTCAGAGCTAATACAGTGACATGCTATTTTTTTTATTGAAAATATGCACAGGGAGGTGCTACAAATTTATATTATGATATTCCAAACTAAAATTCATTCCAGCTTCAAATTTTAAAACTATACTCATTTAAATGAGAATATTTTTCTATTCTATCTTCTATTCTGTATGCTATTCTTTGATTCTATCTTATATTTTTATTTTTTTATTTATTTTCTGTGTGAGCCTCTACCAGTAAGCATGCAGTGTAAGTTGGCGGGAAACTTTGAAACATCTAATCTAACTGCTAAATGACCTTTTCAGTAACACTCGTCCAGTGGCGTAGTAAGAAGGAGAGCTTGTTGCTGTCTTCACCAGACGTTAGCTTACCAGATCTGTGCTGCACTCGAAGCACCATTGCTGGAGTTTATTGAATGCCACAGTTGAGGGTGAGTCACAAGTTTTTTTTGACAAATTTACTTGTTTTTTTGATAGATGAGTGCTGGAAATTGCTAATGTTGTTCAACCTACATTTCCTCCTGTTCCCTACATCCAATAACGAACCAAGTATATTCCTGTCCTTTCCTCTTCCTATACTGTCAACAAATTTATCTACAAACAAAGCAGAGTAACAAGGTTGAATCTATAAGCTAGTATTATACTATATAGTGCTTTCTGTGGGGCATGGGGGGCATTGCAATAGTGTTTTGTTTTGGTCGTAACATTTTTCAGCCATATGAAAATTTACATGAGTAAATTACTAAATTTGTCGTTGTTGTTGATGTACTTTGATTCCAGCGAACAATAAAAGGCCACAAATGTCAAGCATTAATGTGATGCAATGTGTAATATACTCGTATAATAATAAATAAATGTGAACCCATAAATTAACATGAATTTGCTTTTTATTTTACATGTATTGTTTATAAAAAATGGCGGTGTGCCGCGACAAACACATATCGCAGCCCGCCACAACTTTTTTCCTGTTTTTGCGCACTGCAAAAAAACGGCGATGGACCTATGGCATGGCATGGGATGCGATGGGATGGGATGGCATGGCATGGCATGGCATGGCATGGGATGGGATGGGATGGGATGGCATGGAATGGGATGGATGCATGGATAGATAGTTAGATTTTTTGGGGTATTTTCCTTTTAACCAAGCGGTCACCAGCTGAGTAACTCCACTGATTTCCCCGGGCAACGCTGGGTATCCCGCTAGTATAGAGATTAGATGTTGGTCCAGATATTGTTCAAATGTCGGTGATAGTGGCGCCCCCGTGTGAAGAGTTTTCTCTCAGCTTGATTAGGTTGTCATAGTATGCGTGCGTGCATGCATACGTGCAATTTGTGCGAGGCAGGGGTGTGAACCCGCTAGAGATCAGCTGTGCTGGCATCTTTCTCTCATTTTCTCTTTCTCTCCCTTTTTTCTTTTGCACGCTCTCTCTCGCTCTTTCTTTGGCGAGCTTTCTTGCTCTCTTCTTTATTTTGCGCGCTCTCTCCCTTTCTTTTGTGCTCTCTCTCTCTCCCTTCTTTATTTTGCGAGGTCTCTCTCTTTCTTTCACTCTATCTCCCTCTCCCTGTCTTGTTCTCACTTTGCCTTCTCTCATTCTCTCTCTCTCCTCTCTATCTCTCTCGCCCTTCTTTCTTTCGCGCTCTTTCTCTCCCATCTGCTTTTGCGTGCACTCTCTCTCCCTCTCCTCTTTCTCACTTTCTCTCTCCCTCTCCTCTTTCTCTCACTTTCTCTCTCTCTCTCTCCCTTCCTCCCTCCATCCCTAGGTTATTTTTTTTAATGCAAAACTACACAGCTGTGCAACACACGTAGATGTTATTGAGTGTATGGACGAGTTCACGCGGGAGATTGATATAGATACATTGATATAGTATAGCGGATAGTTTTGGAATAGACTATAGGCCGTACACTACAAATGCATTCAAATATTGACTTTTGTGGTCCCCTCCTTGGCAGAACATGAAACATTGTTTAAAGTGTAGCTAATATGATGCCAATCACTATTCCAACTTATCCCACTCGCGCAACATGCACACTTACCCACAATTCTTGCTCAAATATAATTTTGCTGACTGTAGATTGTTGATTTTTTGAGGCGGGAATTTCATATGGGGACTTTTTGATGCGGGAATTTCGTCAGCGATGAGTGTTGAACTTTTTTGGTGCGGGAGTAAAATTTGATGCGGGCGCTGACGAGAACCATGACATCAACTTTCATCGGCCTAAGACTGCCATCATCCTATTCACTGACACTTGTTCATTCCGACGAGAGACGTACGGGTTCTTGGCAGTCTTACAGTGCATTGCCAGCACCATGGAATTGTAGAACTTGGTTCTATAGTTTCCTGTTTGTAAGCAGCCAGAGTCGACTGTTTTCCATGCTAGTGTCACACTCACACACTGACAGATGCACGCTCACAGTTAGCTACGTACGGTCATTCACCTCATACAAACCTAATCTGTCATAGAGCTTCGTTATGTGGTGGGAGGGGGGAGGTTTGCTCCTAGGGGGGGAGAGTGATCCAGTGTTGGGCAGAGTTTCCCTACATACGGAGCTAGGTATATTTTACATCGGTCACAAATAAAACCCACATTCTTCGTGTGGGTAGGCAAGGACAGAGGCGCATTGCGCAACCTAGGAGTATTCGTCCCGAATTTGAAGAGGTGTCGGTGCAGCGAATGCAATATGGCGGCAGGATCATGTCTGCAGAGACAGACGCTATACAGATTTAACTAATTATTTGGATAACATAGGCGTCTATATAAACAGCCATCTACATGTATTATACGTTTATCCGTTAACGAAGCTCAGACTAAGATATGAGAATTAAGGAGTTATCTCCTACCGTGACCGCTTCCTCGCACTGCCGCTGCGACACAGTTCCACGTTGATTCGCTTTGCCATCTTGACATCAAATGACAGTTTAGAAGCTGGCTTTTGCGCGCGCGCGCGGCAGCATTCACGTGACACGACCTTATAGTCAGCAACAGTCTCTACGTAGTCATGTAAATTATGTATAAAGCATAAATAATTCATAAACGTTTATCCGTTAATGAAGCGCAGTGATGGATGGTCCCGAAGGTCCACAATAAGTCTAAGCTTTTTATTCTTTTTGGGGACACATCCAATAGGTGAAACAAAATACGGTATAGTGTATACCAACCACATTAGCGGTTGTGACGCACGCATCAACGCCTGCTAAACACTGCACAACAACAACCATTAGCTGCTGGTTTCCATGTGCCAAACCCCCGAACGTGGAAGACTACCATTTCACACATTCCATCTGCCCCCGTTTACTAGAATCAATCTGTTGGTCTCTACTTTAAAACGGAGTTTATGGTAGCGGTTATTAACTTATTTAAATAATGTAGACTCCGTGCCTACATTTCCTCCCTGTCCAATCGGACGATGACCCATCGTTACAGCACTCTTTAAAAAAAATTTCGAACGGGACGTTTTCTTAGTGGACATGGATTCGTAAAGACTAAAACGAAGCTGAAGAAGAAAGAAAGAATAATTTTATACTATAGTGTAACGTCAAGCACCGTTAAGAGAAAAAGATACAGAATTAATAAAGTCATTAAAAGTTAAGAAGATACAGAAAGAGAGATCAGTAATACTCCATTAAAACAATAGTACTGTGGCACTAGTCAGATAAGTTAATACAATAATAATATTTTACAAACAACGCAAATTATTTTATTTCACACAAAAAATGGTGTTTTTTTTTTTAACGGAAATACTTTGAAATTATTCCTCAACTACAATAGTTATATTTGTTAATAATTATTTTAAAGATGAGAACACTACTATTATTGTGAAACTGGGACATCTGTAAATAACGCGTTAGTATCAAGAGTGCATAATAGAGATATTATGTTATTCATGTTATCCGTACAGTGCTCGAAATAAGCGTTGTCCGGTTGTCCGAGACAACCCGAATTTGTGCCGGACAACCTAGCCAGTCTGAGACATTGTCCGGTGGACAACCAAGAAAAAAGTTGACGAAAAAACGCACTTTATTTATGTTTTTCTCAGGGGTTTTCCATGAGCACTTATAGCCTGGCGGCCCGCCATTAATCTATGGTGTGGGAAAGCGACGTATACCAGCTGCTATTTCCAACACTGGTATATGTCAGGTTTTCTGATTTATGAGAGGTGAACTCAATTTGGAACCAGCAAACCAGCAAGTTCACCCCTACATTTTGGTATTTTTATTCCATTATTATTTTGAATTTTCCGATGGCTTTGCCCATGTAAAACAAACAACATGCAGTGGGGATTCATGTTGATCCAAAAGTTCAAAAAAAGAGAATTGTTGTAGTCAGAATGAAGGTGTAGCAGGTTTATGTTTTGTATGTTGTTGGATTGAGCAGTAGTTCAATATAATTAATAATAATAATATTTA